CCTATGGACAGTGAGAAGATGATGGTTGCCAGCCCTGCATTGCCTCAGGGAAGAACAGGAACTACTCTACCGTTCCTGAGGAAGCCAGATACCCAAGGATAATTCACTCTGCAGAGCCCCACAACACCATTCCTGCTAATCACAAGATGGCTGCTGTGCCGCATCAACTGATAATCATCTCTGCTTATCAGAACCGCTTTCCTAGAACTGTATTCCATGGAGACTCACCTACAATGGCGGATCCGCACGAGAACCACCCTTGATCCAACCTTGAATGGAATCTATGTTCCCTATTGTTGAAAACTTTAAACTTGTGTCCCTTCTCCCTTTACTTGCATGTATCACATTTTCAATAACTCCCCTGGAAGACAACTGTATATAGCAGAGATAGGGTAATGGGAGAGGGGGAAAGGGTAGAGGGTCAAAGATAGGATAAAAAACATATATATATGTAAACATTGTATGAAAGTAGAAATGGAATATTGTTGGTGATAAAAAAAATAAAAGTACATGCCAATACCACCAAAATTACTTTATTTTTGTCACTGACAACATGCACAACACCACAATTGTATCATTACTGTTTGGTTTCTTAAATATTACTTAAGTATGCATTAAAAATATATGTTTACATTGAAGAAATGTGACACATTACAGATGTCCTGTGTAAACATAATCCCTTCTCAATATATTTTTCCTTTGTTTTATACATAAATAACTTAATCTACAAAGTTATAAATAGATACATTTTTATAGACTAAAAGTATATACAAATTTTGTAGTTTGACAAGTGGTCACTTTATGATTTCATAAATAACAACACGCAGTATTCACAGTGTTTATTATGAATCAAATGACTTATCACGAATTCCTATTGTCTCCAACATGTTCTGTCAATGAAAGACCTTCCTATGTAATATGTCATATGTTTAAAAAGTCAAAATAATCAAAATCCTCGTTTTTTTGTGTGTGTGTGCATGTGTGTGTGTAAGAGATTTTCGTTATAGGGTGCATGCACTTGCCAGAGAGACAGAAAGCGAAAAATCACACCCCAGGGGGGATGACCATGCCACAATGATCTTCTCCATTCTCCTCTCAAGATTTTGGGCATACACACACATGTGCCTGGTGTGAGTTTTAAGCCGCTGGTTCTGGAACTCGAACCACGATCAACTATGTGCAGTCCAGCAATGTAACCATCTGCTGATCCCAAAATCTTAGATTTAAAAAAAAAATAGTAGAGAAGGTTGCTATTCAAATATTACAAAGTCTTAGCAAAACTACTTCACCTTGCCTGAAAAACAAAATAATGCTTATATAGAGTAAATGTTTGTACCATTATTTAAATGGCATCTAACCAGACCTACAATGTAAGAGACAATAAAATCATAGTCCAGCTGCAGTGATGTGCACTGCTAAGATGCTATACTCCACTGGAGCCACATGGGAGGCCTGAGTTCAACTGCTGGTCCAACCTACGGGGCAGGTGTGGCAGCACATGCCTGCAATCTCCGCGACTCATAGATGCTGAGGCGGGAAGATCATGATATGTTGAGACCACCTTTAAGAAAAGAAAATAAACAAATTCCTAACAGGCTTCCAGAAGAATTCCACTGAGGTTCTGTTACAGGAATAGAATCAACACTATCCTAAATTTTCTAGAATTTATTTTTGAATCATCATTTTGATCACTTAAAACTCTACGGGTTAAAAATAATGACACACAAAGTAATTTAAGTCATACTTATAACTGCTAATAAAGAAATTTGATTATTTCATCTTTCATGACTGGTAATCCTTATTTCTCCCCAAAACGTTAAATACCACCTACCGAATGATGTATTAAATAACCACTCAGAATTTATTAGTTAAGCGCTCAAGTTACTTTTATGTAATAAAACTAAAAAGGAATTTTGCATGTTGGCTATGTTTTACTTTTTACATTTTTTTAGGCCTTCACGTATAGAGTATAAAACTTACAAGGAAAAATATTCTTGACTAATATTCTCATTAGATTTAAATGATCCAAACTACAAATAATATTAAGCTAAGCAATACCATTACCTTTAAAATATAAAAAATATAAGTTTCTTTTTTCTTTTTTTAATTGTCAGAGGGCACATGCACTAGCCAGAGAGAAAAAGACAGAAAAAGAAAGAGAAACAGAGAGAGAGAGAGAGAGAGAGAGAGAGAGAGAGAGAGAGAGAGGAGGTAAAAAAGCAACTCCCTATGGGGTGTGGTCACGATGTAAACCCTCCTCCTTCATTTCTCCACCTTGCTAGGATTTGGGCATTCATGCACATGTCTGGTCTATTTTTCAAGCCATAAGGGCTGAGATTTGAACTGCAGTCAGTCACACGGGATGCAGTTCCTTTAGTCACTAGGCTATGGTGCTGACCTAAAATATAAGTTTCTAAAAGTTTTACATTTCAAATCAATACAAAATGATGATCCAGCTCACACTATTAACTGTCGAACAACTGTTTAAAAAAGTAAATATTCTGTGTTAGAGAGCAGATTAAAAGAAATGTTTTCCACACACTTATTTTTAAAAACAAGATTCTGATATACGCAAGGAAACCTAAATCAAAATTCACAAATGATGGCTGAAATCCTGTCAACTTTCAGCCCCATACAACATAAATCCACAGCTATTATGCATAAACAATCCAAAATTAAAGTTTATAATGGAAATGTCAACAAGTCATAACTACTGCACATCAGTACTGATGGGTTCCACTATACTTCAGCCAGGCACAGCAGATGTGCACATCTGACAGACAGACTGCTTGGAAAATTAAAGCTATCAGAGCTATAAATAAGGATACATAAATACGAACATAGCAATGCCAAAGCATTAAGGCTGTTAAAAAAGAAAGTGAGTAAGATGTGATGTAAACACATCTGATAGTTCTCTCTGTAAGCCACTTTCCACTGATTTATAAAGCTATGGTTTTGTAATTCGTTTAAAAGGAAAATTTTTCTACACTGCCGCATGCAGTAATTTCATTGTACATTCTTGACTAAAATGCAATCTTCAAATCCTCCTGCAGAGCTTGACATATCTCATCAGGATTTCTCCAGAAAATCAGCTTGTCATATTTTCAGCAGCCTAGAACAAGAAAGTAAGATTCATTAGAATAAAACCATGGAAAAAGAGATACTATGAAGATAAATTTGTCAGTAATGTACTGTCATTAACAAACAACTTTTCCACAATCCAATGACTTTTATCAAGACAATGAAGAGGTTTTTATCTTTTGCTGTATAGCAAGACTATTTTTTCAACTTTATGGGGCTGCAAAGTGGCAAGGCGGTTAAGGTGCTGGACTCTAACATGGCTGATCACAGTTAAAGTCCCGGACCTGGTGTCTTGCTTTCTCCCTTTCCCTCTCTCTCTCTCTTGTCAAATTAAAAATAACAAATTAAATCAAATAAATGAAATAATTCTTTTTTAAAAAATAAATAAATGAACTTACTGCTAGGCGAACAGCAGAAAATAATTATATCATCTTAAGTAGCAGTTAAGAGTACATGTAAATATATACTCCTACCTGAAAAATTAACCTACTGCAAACCTGTTCATACACTCCTCATTATTTTGTCTGTTTCTATATCTTACTACGGTGAGAAAAGGGGATTAAGAGAGAGAAAGATCTTGTGCTGCAAGGTGGAGAAAACAGAAACAAGAGAGAATAATGGCTAATCCTATTTCATATACTTACAATTACTATACTTTCCCAGATGACTCTGAACAAACTTCTAGATACCATATTAATTCCTCAATGAAGGGCTTGATAAGTTATTTCTAGAAAGACTTAGCACACCTTAAAAAAATAATTTCTTAATGGCAATATAAAAATGATAGAATTTTAAAATAAGTTTAATTTTAGAAATACATGTTAGACTTTTAAGTCATTAACATTTCTGCTTCCTAAATAAAACCTGCTTTTAGGGAACAGTAGGTATATGGTGGTTAAGATGCTGGACTCCCACATGGCTAACCGTGGTTCAAGTTCTTGATCTGGTAGTTTGCCTTTTCACTTTCTCTTTCTGGTCAAATGAACAATAAACAAATAAACAACAAATAAATAAAAATAAAACTGCCTTCAGTTCAGTGTAAGTTCAGAGCTATTTCACCCCAGTATGTTAAAATAACTGGACAAGTGCAGATAATGAAGATATTGCTTTTCTATATACTTAGCTTGAGGACTTATCTTTTTTTAAATAATAATTTAATTAATTTATTTATTTTAATTTTAACAGAGAGAGACAGAGTGAGAGTGAGAAAGAGAGACAGAAAGCAAGAAAGCAAGCCACCTGGCCTGGAACTTGAACTACAGTCAGCCACAAGGGAATCCAGAGCCCTTAACTACCATGCCACCTGCTGGCTCCTCAAAGACTTATTCTAAATTAGCCTTTCCCTCCTCTGGGATTTACTACTCAAGAGAATTAAAACCTAGTTTCAAAAAAGTTCCCCTATTCTAAAGCATTTCGCACTTCTGTCTTTATAGGTCTGTATATTAGCTTTAGCAACATACCCTTTAGGTAATCTGTTGTTATCTCCCTAGTCCCATTCTCAGTATTACCTAATTTGAAGACTAGAAATTATATATATATATATTTTAAAACTAAAATACTTTAACTCAAAAGCAATTTAGTATTTCTTGTCCTATTCTACTTTTATATTAATTTTAGACATTCTTCTCCAATATGGGGAAAATGCAGCAAGTACCTTCACTTAAAGTAAGTAAGCAATGCTATAATTTTCATTTTATACAAATGTGAAATTTTCTATTTGAAAGGCCAGTAACATCTTAGTGACCTACAGATTAGTTACAGGTTGCCATTAAAAACTTCAAACATTTGCAAGAATCAGTCCTGGTTAAAATCAATTTTAGTATATAGTCCTTTTCTCTTCTAAATGTTCATTTTCTGTAGAAGAGTGAATGGGTGGATGCATGGAATTTATCTAAACCTTTATTTCTTTCCTAATTCCAAATTCTACAGAACCAATATCCTTGCATTTTAGATGTTCATACACGGCGAGGGATGCAATCCAAACCCATTCTAAGTAATTGGTAATAGTACAGGACATTTGCAAGAGGGAGGGCAAGGCTCAGTCCATAGGACTGCATCACTAATAGTATAACTCAAGGTATCAAGACACTAAACAGGTGAAGGTATAACCAAGCAGGTTACCTAGAATTTCTTAAATCATAACATGCAGGTGATTGCTTATACATAAACTTTAGCACTCAGAAGATAATATTAAAATTATTTCAGTGAAGAACTATTCATAAAAATGGACTTAATTAACAGCTATAAGTATGCTATAAGATACACATAAATTGGCCTATTGCTGTTAAGGAACTTCTCTAAATGGGGAGAAAAGCAATTTATTTTACTGTAATAGATTTAGGCCATATCAATGTATAAATCTGTAAAAGGCAAAATAATTAATAAAAATTTACTATTTTCTACATAACTAACTAAAAAGCAAAAGAAAACCCCAATGTTTCAGACTAACTGTTCCTTATGTTTCATGATGCCGATACGGATTTTACACAATCTAAAACAGTAACAATAAGTACCATACAATTCTAAATACAAGGAATTCTAGGTACAGGTTGTAGAATGTACTAAGAACAGTTTCTCTTTAGCCTAATTTTTACACCAAAAGAAATTAACAAGAACTATAAGAAAAAAAAAATCATTAGCAGTAACCACACAAAGAACTACCTTCCGTTTGTGAGGTCTGTAAAGGGGTGGTCAGGGAAGACACCTTGGCTCAAGTAGCTGAGTCAACCAGCTTCCCACCCCATTCTAACAGTAGTTAAGGGAGAAAAGACTAATCCAGAGAGAAACGAAATGATGAGTTCTTTTTTAACTCAGCAAAATTAAATATTTTATTTTTAAAAATCTATGAAATGTATCTGCAATGATGTTTACCAAATATCACTGGTTATTTCTTGGGAAAAATGATCACTTGGGAAGAGTGAGTGACTTTTTAAATGTCATTCTTTGTATTTTGAGATATATATAGATATATATTTTTAAAAGATTTTTGCTATAGGGTGCATGTGCTCACTAAAGAGACAGAGAGATAGAAAGCAAGAAATCACTCCCCAGAGAATGACTACACCATAGTCCCTTCTCTTCCATTCTCCTCTAGAGATTTTGGGCACATGGACACACATATCAGGCATGAGTTTTAAGCTGCCCAGTCTGGGACTTGAATTGCGGTTGGCTATGTGGGAGTCCAGCAACGTAATCATTACACCATTTGCTGGTCTCCTGATGTATTTTTGCATTATGAGCTTTCATCCTTTTTATAAAAACTATACAGATCACATAAATTACTTTAAAGAAAACAAGAAAAGTCTTGACTTACTATTTCTTCTTGGCTAGAAACCCCTTCTTTTCAGGAAATCCTTCCTACCTAGTTTTGATGAGATACTGGTATATTGGTTTTAGATGAGGAATTATTTATTTTGTTATTATTATTTTCAATTTGACCAGACATGAGGAATTATTTATTTTGTTACTATTATTTTCAATTTGACCAGAGAGAGAGAGAGAGAGAGAGAGAAAGATAGAGATAGTCTGAAAGCAAGCTGCCAGGTCAGGGGCTTGAACTGTGGTCAGCCATGTGGAAGTCCAACACCCTAACCACTACACCACCTGCTGGTTCCCAGTAAAACTTTTTTTTTTTTTTGGAGAGGTTTTTGCTATAGGGCCCATGCACTCACCAGACAGACAGAGACAGAGAGACAGAAAGCGAGAAAGCACCCCCCAGGGGGGGTGGCCACGCCGCAATACCTTCTCCTCCATTCTCCTCTTGGGATCTTGGGCACGCACGCGCACACACCCAGCGGGAGTTTTAAGCCACAGGGTCCGGGACTGGAATTGCGGTCGACTACATGGGAGTCCAGCGACATAGCCCTTATGCTAACTGCTGGTCCCCCAGTAAATACATTTTAAGAGGTTCCATATGTGTGACAAACTGATCTTCTAGTCAAATGGTTAACACTTTCTGACTCTGTTCATTTTACTTACTGATTTTGCCACTCAAATCTCACTATAGTCCACTGGATGCAAAATAGCTAGTATGCTCAAAGTTGAAACAGTTAAGTTAAGGAGGTATTTCTGAACCTCCTATTCTAAGGTTCTACTTTAGGTTGTATTTTGCCTAAGATAATGGTTAGGCCAAAGCACTTGTGTCAGTCACCTGCCTAAGCTAAGCTTATTTGACTCTGGTTCCTTTATGGCACTCAACTGTGGTATCATAAATATTATCTTTCTATCCTACCTATTTTCTTTCAAACTCAAGCAGAATAAAACAAAATTCTTACAGTTGTGGAAAAAAGAATACATCTTCCACCAGAACTTCAGAAGCATATTGATAAAAGACTAATACCTCTTTTTATTTTTAACAAGTTATGAGGGAATACTAAGGCAGGGAATGTTTCCATGGTAAAGTCCAATGACTGCTTTGCTTTTATTAATAATAACCATTTCATCCTTTCCTAAGTAGCTGGCCCAGGTTTCTTTAGATTTTACTGCAGGAGGAGACCTAACATTTAAATAAATAATTATGAAGAGAGATAGCACGAGTTCAAATTCTGGCTCAACCACTTAACTGTACCTCATTTTTCTCTCAGGACTTTGGGCATGCACGCATACATGCCTGGCCTGAGTATTAGGCCACTGGGTCCGGGACTCGAACTGCAGTCAGCTACACGAGAGTCCAGTGATGTAACCATTATGCCATCTGCTGGTCCCAATATTAGCTATTCTTATTATATTATTCAGTTATTTTTCTTTCTGATCTATGAAAGCCATAGATATGTGTTAAATTAAAAAAGGAATTTCCAGGCCAGCCCCATAGGGCAGGGGCAGAGGTACTTAACCTGTGATAGGAACAGTGATAGGAACTGTATCCCACATGGTTAACTGTGGTTCAAATCCTGGCCCTAGTGGCTTGAAAATGGGCATGTGCCCAGGATCCTAACAGGATGGAAAAAATGGAGGAAAAAAGGGCTGTGTTGTGACCAGGCTACACTATGGGTGGGTGGGTGGAGTGTTTCCTTCCTGCCTCTCTCCCACTCTCTCTCAAGTGCACATACCCTCTGACAAAAAAAGAAATTTCCACAGTATTTAAAACTATTAAAAAGTCGATTTAAAACATTTGAAACTTTACACGTACATCTGACAAAGGGTTCATTTCATATCCAGAATGTACAAAGTAGTATTACAAATAAAGAAAAGAATAGCTCAGAAAAGGCTAGTGATTTGAAAACCTCATAAAAGAGGATGGCCAAAAAATATGTAAAGTGCATTCAACCGCATTGGTACTCTGAGAAATGCAAATAAAATCAAATGAGAAACCCATATATACCCCAAATGGTAAAATCCAAGACTCACAACAAGCACTGGCAAAGATGTGGCTCAAGGGATGCCCTTATCCTGCTGGTGGGCATAAATGAACACTATTTTTTTGAAAGTTGATCTCATAATTATCTGTTCATATTTAGGATACATGTAACCCAAGATCCAGCAATTTCAGTTCTAGATGTGTACCTAACAGAAATGCACATATACATGCATCAGGAGACATGGACAATAATGCTCACAGCCCCACACAGGGAAAACACCTAATCTGTATTCACAGTAGAAAGGATAAACTATAGTATATTGGTAGAATGAAACACAATACTACAGTGAAAAGGAATGCATTATAGCTATAGATAAGATAAAAGGACCTTGCAGAATAATGTTAAATGAAAAAACTTGGTGAAACGATTGTGTTATAAGATTTTACTTATACTGAGTTCAAAAATGTTACAGGGCCTGCTTTGGTGGTTAAGTTAACGCTGTATCAATATAGCAGGTCGCGGGTTAGGTTTCCTGGCTGACCTGTACATCCTGGGTACATGTGCCCATGATTCTGTCAGGCTAGCAAGGCTGGAGGGATCACAGTGTGAGAGTCTATTGGGATGTGTGCCACTTGTGCAAAAAACAAACTTTAGAAGGAGAATAAATGATCCCTTTAAAAAAAATTTTTTTTTTAATAAAATTAAACTGCAGTGTTTAGAGTTCTAACCTAACCCATGTGTAGTTAGTGGAACTGTCAAAAGAAAGAAGGAGTCTATCATCAGGATAGCCGATACCACAGAGGAGAGCAGGAAGGAGAGGTTAGTGACTGAAAAGGAGGCTTCTAGGATGCTGGCAGTGATAACTGCGTGGATATTCTCTACATGATAAACTTTTGCTCTGTAAATACATTTGCTTACCTTTTTGTGTTAGATTTAATAACCAAAAGTTTTTTTTTAATTTATTTAATTCCATTTATTGTTATTAATTTTTAATTTGACCAGAGAAAGAGAAAGAGAGCAAGGGAAAGTAAGAAGGCAAGCCACCAGGTCCAGGACTCAAACCACAGTTGCCCATGTGGGAATCTATAACACCTTAACCACCATACCACCTGCTGCAGTCCCAATAATCAAAAGGTTTTTAACAAGCACAAAACAACCTAGAATATTTATTAGAAAACAACAATCTGAGGAACCAGCAGTTAGCGTAATGGCTATGTCGCTGGACTCCCATGTAGTCGACTGCGGTTCGTGTCCCAGACTTGGTGGCTTAAAACTCACGCCAGGTGCATGTGCGTGCGTGCTCAAGATCCTGAGAGGAGAATGGAGAAGGAATTGTGGCGTGACCATACCCCCTGGGGGGGGTGATTTCTCGCTTTGTCTCTCTGTCTCTCTGTCTCTCTGGCGAGCGCACGCGCCCTATAGCGAAAAAACCTCTCCAAAAAAAAAAAAAAAAAAAAGAAAACAACAATCTGCAAGATAGGTTAAATTACATGTTTTATATAGCTGCCTTAGAGCTAAGGGAAACAAAGAAGCCACTTTTTATCGTTGGTCAAGGTTTAATATGGACTATCTTGAAATTTCAGTATTTACAGTGAATTATTCTATATAAACATAGAAGTAAAAATCACTAGAGATTTTAAATCAGAAGAGTATGTGCAAGCAAGAGCAGGAACAACATATTTTCCTATCCCCAATGTTAGCAATTAAAAGATGGACAATTTGAGTTGGAATAAAGGTGGCCCTCTGGATCTTGGAGGCAGCCACAGCCCTCTGGTCTCTCAGCCATTTCGGAGTCACTTTACCCTTTTGAAGAGTAACTCATGCTCACAGCTGAGTAGTGCTATCAGCCAGTTTTCTAACTAGAATCCCAGTAACTCAACAGTGCTTTTCAGTCTACACTGGCAGTTAGTGCTGAGATGCTTGACTGAGTTTCTCACATAACCAATCTCCTCACACACACAGAAGACTGTCCAGTCACACTCTTGGCCCACTTCCAGAGCATGCTATCCAGATAGGCTGAAAGTTTTCAAATCATCAAGTGATGGTTCCTTTTCTTTTAATAAGAGAAAAGGAATCCTACTAACTACACATAGGTTAGGGTTAGGGTTAGGGCTCTAAACACCGCAGTTTCCTCAACTTCAAATTTCTCTCCCATTTTATTTGAAGCAGTAAGACATGAGGCTGCTCCTGCCTCATTTTGCTTAGAAATTTTCTCAGCTAAATATGAAAGTTCAGCACTTCCATGCTCTATTTTCCGTCTCACAGAACATAATTTGGCCAAGTTCTATCACTTTCTAACAGGGATCACCTTTCACCTAGTGTTTAATAAATGTTTCTCATTTCTACCTTCACCAGAAGCTCTATTGATTGTGTTCCTAATGATACCTGTATTTTCTGAAATAACGAAAGTCCTTCCTACAGCTCTCCCCTCCTTCTGAGCCCTCGCCAAAATCGTCTTTTACATACAGTTCTAGTAATAGTCTCATCAAGGTAATCTAGGTTTTTCTATGAAACACGTTAAAACTTTCCAGTCTCTATCCATTACTTATTTTCAAATTTATTGGTTTATCAGGATAGTCATGATGCATTTTTACATAGAAAAACAGAAAAATATGTCATGACTTTCCTGACAACCTAATACTGTCAGGTTTTTAAGTTGTTACGGCAGCACCTCACTTATTATTACTACAAACTGCTTTAGATTTCCAAGGCTGCCATGACAAAGTACCACAAACTGGGAAGTTTAAGACAACAGAAATGTATTCTTTCACAGTTCTGGATGCCAGAAATCCAAAATCAAGGTGCAAACTGGACTGTTCTCTAACTGAAGACCCTAAGGAAAACTCCTTTCTTATTTCTTCTCGGTTTCTGTGGCTATTGACAAACATTGGCTTTTCTTGGCTTACTGTATATCTGTGTCCAAATTTCTCTTGTCTTAAAAGGACATTCAGCACTGGATTAGGACAGGACCTCATCTTAATTTGATTACAAACACAAAGACATCATCTTCAAATAATGTCATATTTCTCAGGGTCTGGAACTATAACGTACCTTTGTTTTCTGGTAGACACTATTCTACTCAATACATAAAAAATTCTAGAAACAGATTTCTAAAAAAAAAATAACAGAGTTCATGATAGTAGTAATTTCTATGATCTATATGCCACTAAACTCTTGGTTCTCAGAAACTGTTTCAGAATTTCAGACTGTGCTGGAAGTTAGGTTAACCTTGTTCAGGATCTTTCACATAACTTCATCATTAACCATTCTCTAAAGAAAACATCCTTATTTAGAATGAATTAATATACAAATCTCTAACCTTTAGTGCTTCGGTAGCCTTTCGAAGCTCCTTAATAACTGATGATAAAGCTTCTGGGTTAATTCCTTGTTCACAAAGCCGTACACAAATAGACAGAGTTTCCATATCTAAGCCAGTATTCAAAATTCTTGAAATCTCAAGCAGAACTGAAAAAAGACATAAAGAAAACTTTAAAAAAGGAATAAAAGGAAAGCTGACAATGTTTAAAAAGATGCAGACTGACCTTTTGTTTTCAATACATATATTACCACACCGTAACTGTGGTTTTCCAATCTCAGGATTTAGAAATCAGCATGTAATAAATAGTGCCTTGCCCTTGGTTAGCTATCTTCTTCAACTTAGAAACTTAAATTTACAACTTCCCTTTCATACAACTGCCTTTTACATCTTGGTGTATATTCTACTCATTTAATAGCTACCTAGCACTTATCAATCATAATTGGAATTATTCTGAATAGTTCCCTAGTTCTGGCTATTCTTTTACAATGCCATTTAAATAGTTATGTTTTAAAACATTTCTTTTTTTTTTTTGAGAAGTTTTTGCTATAGGGCGTGTGAACTCCCCAGAAAGACAGAGAAACAGAAAGTGAGAAATCAGCCCCCCACCTCCCAGGGGAGAGGTGGCCATGCCGCAATCCCTTCTCCTCCATTCTCCTCTTGGGATCTTGGGCGCTCACGCATACGTACCTGGAGTAAGTTTAAGCCACCGAGTCCGGGAGTTGAACCGTGGTTGACTACATGGGAGTCCAGCGACATGGCCATTACACCAACTGCTGGTCCCAAAACATTTCACTTTGGAACCACCATTCTTTACTTAACATTCTTCAATTTTAAGACTTAGCTGGTTCATGTTTCCCCCGTGGAACTAATAATGTGGTAAGTCTGACATACTAACTTTATTTTACTAGGATAAATTCTCAGAAATAAAACTGCTCAGACAATAATATACATATTTAAGTCTTTAAAAGTGTTTAGGAACTTATTACCAATTCAAAAGAGTAATTAGGTCTGTTTAATATTAAAAATGAAAGCTTTCTTCTTAAACTCATTTTTGTAGTACTTCACTTTATTATCATTTATAACAGTATCAGTTTTTGACTTGAGAGGCACTAACATGGAGATTCCATTTCTGAAGTGATTTTTCCAGGAATCCCTTCCACTATAGAATTTAAGTACAATGTTTCCATTTTCCATAAAACTTTGTTTTATGGTAGTTATTTCCTAGAGTGCTTTAGAACTTTTTAGGTCAATTGCCAGTATGTTATCTATTGTTCTATATATCATTTCCACTGGCATTATGCTTAGAAAATTATTCCCTATTCAAAAATTATATTCACTGGTATTCTCTTTAGAGAGTTAGTTTATTTGCTGCCCCTTCCATAAATATTTAAATATTGAACTCCTTGGATTGGGGTAGAAGGTGGAATCTAATTTTTCCTTGTAGAAATAAGCCTATTGTCCTAATTCGAGTCATGTATCCTTTTACACTTAACTGACATGCCACCTTTATCACATCATAAACTCCCAAGCACCTACTGATTTGTTGCGTGTCTACCTTGTGTCAGAGCCATAATTATAATTATTAACTTTATAATACGTGTAATAGGTTAAGGATTCCTTTGCCATTTTTCATTTATATAGGCCCTTTTATTCTCTGGATGACCTTAACATTTTTTATCAACTCCAAAAAAAAAAATTCCATTTGAATTCTAACTTAACACAACAGCTACATATTTTAGCAGGAAAGGATAAATTAACATTATTTAGTCACTGGTTAATCTACATCTAAGTCCTTCTAAAAACCTGTATATTCATGAGATTCAATAAAATGTGACCTTCCCTATTTTTCATATCATTCATTCATTTTCATCATGCCACCTGGTAACATGGTAGGTAAGGCAGGTGGACCTCACACAGCTAATGGTATGGTTCAAGTCCCAGACCTGGAAGCTTGAAAAACATGCTAGGCATACACGTGTGTATCCTCGAAATTCTGATAGGAGAATGGAAGGGATGTGGTGTGGCCATTCCTCTTGGGGGAGAGGGAGGTGCTTTCTTACTTTCTACAGCACACGTCCTATTGTAAATTTTTAAAAAAATCTTGTATACCTCTGCTATACTTTCTGAACATATGGAATACATGTCTAATGCCTTTTGTCTGTGTATTCTAACATTTGTGTCATTTTTGGGCACCTTATAACTGAATTTTCCCCATCGTGGGTCATATTTTCCCACTTTGCATATCTGGTAATCTCTGATGATGCCAGATGTCAATTTTACCTTCATAGGTGCTGGATATGTTTATCTTTATATAAGTATTCTTAAGCACTGTAATGACATACGGTTATCTGGAAACAGTCTAATCCTCTTTGGTCTTCTCAGATTTGTTGGAATACCAGAGCCCACTTTGGCACAGGACTAATTATTCCTCATTACTGAGGCAAGACAATTCAGAGTACTCTACCTGATGTCTCATGAATTATAAAGTTTTCCATTATCACAAGTAGGTATGTGCCATCCTCAGCCTGTGTGCATATAATACACTGTCCCTCTAATATTTTTAGACAGTTCTTTCCCCAGCTTTCTGGATACTTTCCTCACACATGTGCATATGAATGCATGGCTCTGTACCTGAGGGGGCCTCTTCTACAGATCTCCAGAATTCTCTGTGCAGCTCTCTCCTCTCAGATACTCTGTCCTGCAAACTCTACCTGCCTTGCCCTCCTTCATCTGTTCAGCTCTTTCTACTCACCGTGGGGTGTCTACTAGGTTCTACTTAGGTACCCTGTGCTACACTGATACTGGAAACTCTCTGAAGGGTGCAAACTGGAGCAACTATGGGGATAACTTTGTTTCCTGTTTCTCAAGAACTATACTGTCCTTTAACATTTGATGTCCAGTGTCTTGAAAATCATTGTTCTGTATGTTTTACTGGGTTTTTCAATGTTTTCAACTAGAATAAACCCAGTCCCTATTACTATCTTGGCTGGAAGTGGACAGCACTTCTATTTCATTGTTGTTTTGATATTCCAATTTATTAACACTTTGTTCTCCAGCTGTATCCAATTTGTTATTCATGTTATCTGCTACATTTATTTAAATAACTGCATTTTAAAATTTCTAACCCTACCCCCATAATTAGTTTTGCTTGCTTCATATCTAAATGGTGGTTTCTAACCACTTATTTTATGGTTGTTGTTCCTGCCTTTATCTATTGAAGGCTATAGTCTTAAATTACTTTTAGGACTGTTCTAGTACCTCTATTTCTTTAGGTATAGAAAGCAGCAAAAGAGAATGATTAAGAGTGTGATCTATACAGCCTGATTACCTGAGCTCAAATTCTAGCTTTGTTACTTACTAGACAAATTAACTTCTCTGTGTCTTTACTTCATCATTCCATAAAATGGAGATAATAATATCTATTTCATAAAATTGATGTGAGGATTGAAATACATACTTAGAATGGTACTTGGCACATGGTAATCAATAAAAGAATATTAAAATAAATGAAACAAAATTGATAAAAATAAATATTATATTACTTTCTCTCTCCCCTACTCTTTTCATTTTCATGTTAGTTGTTTATGTGTTTCAACTACCTTTGGTAGCTTTGTGATTCTTGGCTGAAAACTCATCTTCCACAGATTTCTCTAACATGTCCTGAATTGGTGACAAAATTTTTAGTTAAGTAATCTTACCCTGGCCTCAGCCCTCTTGATCAGGTCTTACAAAAGCATCCTGGCTTCAGACCCAGAATACATGAATGGTGCTTCTCAATCTCTGGCCATGGCAGATGGCACATCTCTGACTCCCAGACTCACTCAGACAAAACAGCATGATTCACCAGGTTCTATTTCCAATCCCCTGCTGTGGTTCCCATCTGCTCCTTTCTTTAGAGGGGCACTTCTCTCTTTCTGATCAATGGAGACTTCCCTTTTATGTTTTTGAAGATGGCTACACTAATAATTATATTTTCTTATTGTTTTCTACCATATTTACATGCTTGGAACAGAAAGTTTCAACAAGTATAAGCAAGTTTCAATGTACCATATTGAATTTTATTAACTTTAATTTTTGACTACTTTCATAAATGCATATAAATGGATTCTACATCATTCTTGCACATTTTCAGTAATTACTGTTGATATACTGTTAAATATTTTATTTATTAAATGAAATTGATTTATTAAACATGAAATAAACATTTAACATTAAATATTTAATTACTATTAATATTTAATACTTAATGTTAAACATTTTTATTTTATAGCCAGTCACCTTAACAAACTCTATTGAAGCCTCTCGAAGTCTTTTGGCTCATTCTCTCGTCTCCTTTTCAAGAATTGTTTTCTTTTTTTGTCAGGCATTATTTGCTAAAATCTTAAAATCAGCATTTTAAAAAGCAGTGAAAACATGTGTTCCCAATTTTATATGAAAAATATTTAACATTAATATTAAAGATGATGCTGGTTTCACACAGCTATCCTTTGCCATGCTGAAAACATAGGTTTTTGGCTAAGATTTCTGAAATGAAGAAAAAAGTTGAACCATACTAATAATTTTTCATTAAACACTTCAGCCATCATGTAGACTTTCTCCTATACATAGTGAGGTTATACACTGTACTTACACAGACTACCTATCCTGCTTGAGAAAACTGAACTTGGGAAATCCTTACTTTTACAGTAAGAGTAAGCCTGCTCTTCATCTGAGGCTGAATGTGTCCTCATCTCTCGAGTGCTCCTTGTAAACAAAGCCCTGAGAAACAGCTGGAGCAAAGAGCATCATACTCATGGTCTTTTATTTTTGGCTTACAAAGCAAGAATCTGCAGGTATGCTCAAGGTCAGGTCCATGTCAAACTCTATCTCCCAACAGTGACACTGTATTGCCTTCTAGGGCTAGTTTTAAAAAGGTAAAATAGTGGCACCAGCAGCTGGCATGATGGATAAAGCACTGGATTCCAACATGGCTGACCACGGTTTGAGTCCCAGACCCAGCAGAATGACAGTTATGCTGGGTGAGTATGTGAGTGTACAAAATCCCAAGAGAAGAATGGAGGAGAAGTATAACTACCGCCCCTGGAGGGGGGGGTAATTTCTCACTTTCCCTCTGTCTTCCTCTGGTGACTTCATGTGCCCTTTGGCA